CACTCACTCACTCACTCACTCACTCACTCACTCACTCACTCACTCACGCACGCACGCACGCGCACACACACACACACACACACACCCTTGAAGGGTAAGGGTGCTGGTGAAATTACAGCCACATGACATTTGTCAACTAACGTCTCAGCAGCTGCAGCTTACCATCAGGCGCACAACTAGTTCGCCCCGTCGCTTGATATTATAAAAAAAACTTATAACTTTGTTTTAAAAAATTAACTCTTTACTGGCAGCCATATTGAAAAATGGCAAAAAGTAAATTTTGACTGCAAATCGTTATTAAACACCCATAGACAACTTCAAATGCCGATTTTCAAGCGAATTACAGCAAATTTTTATCAACCGCCAAAAAAGTTTGTATGGCAGTCATATTGAAAAATGACTAAAAGTAAATTTTGACCACAAATTATTATTAAACACCCATAGAGACCCCGACATGCCGATTTTTAGTCGAATTAGAGCAAATTTTTGTCTGCCGGCAAAAACGCCTATATGGCGGCCATATTGAAAAATTGGGAAAAACTAATATTAATCACAAATTATTGCCAAGCACTCCTGGGTCTCTAGGCACATGCCAATTTCCACAGTGATCAGTGCAATTTTTTTTCTACCGCCAACGAACGAAATGTGTGGCTTCTAGAAGTGCCGGATAATAATTTGTGCTCGAAATTGGTTTTTCGCCAATTTCAAATATGGCGTACAACAATTTCGAGCACAAATTATTACCCGGCACTTCTAAAAGCCACACATTTCTAGAACTCTCATTCTAGAACACACGTACATTTTCAGCCGAAACAAAGCAAATCTCTTTCAAATGGCAGTCATATTAAAAAATGGCGAAAAAATAACTTTTAGCCCCAAATTATGATTCCTAAAGACGGGGTCTTTAGGAGTCCTTAATCATTCTAATTTTCAGCCAGATTGAAGCACATACTGATGATCTAGTATCGTTGACATCGACCCTCTGTATGGAGTACAGAGGGTCGATATCAACAATGTAGTTCATTCAAGTATGATTTCATCAGGTCGAGGTCTACGGCCCACTACACCATATAGCGAAATGTCCACACTACTTAATTTTTAAAGCAATATCTTGCTTATACTAGGCCTATAATTAGGCTTAAACCTGATCTATTTGGCTGTGCTATAAATTTTTCGAACAACTTTCCAGTTACTTACTGGTTATAAAGTCGAAGAGATTTCAAGCAGAAGATTTCATATGTTCTGCTTGAAGTCTCCTTGAATTGCAGAAATGCCGTTGTGGTTAACGTCGCCCAATGAAAAAGAAACCTTGGTGTCAATTTCCCCATTAGGATAGCAAAAAAACGTGACACTGTATTTCTGTAAAGGTTTTAAATTTTAAAAGATGATTTTAATGAACACTTTCTTAACGGTGTGTATAATTGTAGTATCGGTAAACGCACAGGAGGACGATGACGGATTGGCGTTAGAGTTGGGACAGAGAGACTCGAACGATGACTCGAGTGAAGACAGTGACGAAGTCATAGCGGCAAATGCTAGCGCAGACACGGGCCGCGCTGGCCCTAATGATGGATCACGAATCTCGTTCGTCAAAGACGAAGGAGGCGTTGACAGTAATACTGAAAAGAAAAAGGAAGCTCCGGGTAACACTTACACGACTAAAGATAGTGGAAGCGACGGCAAATATTTCTACCAGACGTACAGAACTACATTCCATATACTACTATAGCTTTTAAACTTCAAAAGTCTTATTGGAATCAAACCATCCTTTAGAGAACTACAGTGCAACTAGGGATACACCAAAAACTTTCAACAAAAACGTTTAAATAGTTCTTCGTGTTTTAACAGTCATCAATATTTCAGGTAACTTGACCCAACCGAAATACATTCCAACGGGTTGGGCAGAACCGAAGAGTAAAGCAAATCCTGGACCAACAAATATCACAACGTCTAAACGCCCAACAACAGAGTCGCCAGCGAAAGGACCCGTGCGATTGCGCAACGTGACGACATCAAGGAATGTGTTCGCGCTTGATGACGGCGATGATGACGACGAACCGCCGTCGCGGCCGCCGCCCGAGTTGCTGGCTAAACGGATCACTGCTAATGAAGACATCATAATGGGTAAGTGAACAGCATTTCAAAAAATGTGAGGAGTACAAAGTACTCCATGAATCTGTCCAATGTAAGGAACTACACTGTGTAATATACATGTATACATAAAGCTTGTACACAACAAGCTTGTTTCAAGTAGATAACCAAATAAAAAGAAAAGAGTGATCTTGTATGAAATGGTATATTTTGGGAGAAAGCGACGCTATACCTTGACTTGCCGCAGGTGTTGTATACATTCTTGTGTTTTGTATTTCAATTTTATCGCGCGCGTCGCGACTGTCATGCGTAGCCATGCTACGGGGGGGCCAGGTGCTCGTACTCGATAAAAAATTCCATCGACTATCGATTGAACATTGGGTACGCTTACGCATTAAATAGCGTAACTAGTTTCTTTTCCAGGTGTGTAAATTATCATTAGTGTTGTTAATGTATCATTAGTGTATTTCTTATTAGTGACTCTAATTAAATAAAACGGTTCCCTTTGAACGTCCATGAATATTAAATTTATAATTCAGATAAGTTATTTTAAATAGGAAATTACAGAGAATACGCCGTCTACTATCTTACCACAGAAACAAGAAAAAAGTGTTAACAAAATTACAGCCATTGACAAAAAAGTCTCCCATAACAATATACATTATAGTAAAACGTCTCAAGTGTCAATACAATAAAAACTTTCAATTAATCGCTACCCTTTGAAATTATTGAAAAAAAAATCTGTATAAAAAAACCATAATCCTCTTAAATAATGTCAATGACTGGGTGTTGATTCTCGAACTATTATTCACTTCGACGGCAGCCGACGCCGACGCCGACTGTCGAAATCTCGACTGCACGCATTACTCACACTCCTTAACTCCGTTCTCGAGGCGGCACCACAATTTGATTTGTTCGATAGCGCAATTGGATGTCTGATAAGTGAATGTAAGAAAGTGTTTAAACCAATGATGCCTCTAAGTTCAGTTCTGTAAAATGTATATAGTTTATTTGCATTTTTTTTTTGTTTTTTGTTGTTTCAGTCTTTATAGCGACTTGGATTTTTGTCTGTTAAGTTACAAATACCAAATAACTGCAGACGTCATGTCCGTCTATTAGCAGCATAAAATATCTATCTAACTGGTATCCTACCCAACTGTGTCTACCCAGTATTGGATTATTTAATACGAACATAATTCGTTCGAAGACTTATCATTACTACGTACATTCTCGCCAAAATTACAGAACCAGTTTTTTTTTTAATATAAGTGACGGGACGAACAAGTCGTGCGCCTGGTGATAAGCGATTCGTCTGTCCATAACAGTTGTAGCGCCAGTCGGAGCTTTAAATCGTAAAGATCTTAGGGGCGCTGCCACTGCGCCCGACACCCTGAGATATAAGTTACCGACACCCTTATAATGGATTAATGGATTTATTTCGAGTGTCATACTTAATTTCGACAAACACTATTTCGACTCGACAGTACTGCAACTACACATTAATTCGACGGAACACTACCTCGACAAAACACATGTTCGACAAGTCACTAGTCCGATAGAACACTGCTTAGAAAACACCACGTATTGGACAGGTCACTGTGCCGACAGAACATGAAATATTTAATATAAATATTTACTGTACTGAAAGACTACTCAGGGACCACTTCGTTCTTGAGCGGAATATCTCATATACATAAACATGTCTGAAAAATAATTAATAACTAGTTAAGCAGTTATTTGTCAATATCATATTCTGTCGGAATAGTGACCTGTCGAATACATGCGTTGTCGAAGTAGTTTTCTGTCCGTGTCAGAACAATAAATACAGAAGAAGTGGTTAGTTAGCGTCTGACGCGTGCCAACATTAGGCGTCGAAAGGCCTACTTGAGCTCAGACCGCCATTTTCGCTTTATATGGTGTGGTTGTGTCATTCTTATGCGCAAATTCTCTAAAATCGCAGAATATGCCTTTGTGCAGTTTTGGAGTGCAAAAATGGTAGCCGCACCAAAAATATTACCCGTAGTAGTATTTCGTATCATCGATCGTCGTAGTCCAGCTACTGGCCGCAAGATAGCGGCCTGTTGAATAAAATTTCAATGAAAAATCAAAACTTGCAATAAAGGTTGATGAACTTATGAACTTTCAACGACTGAGTGAAGTTTAAATTATATTAACAATCCAGACTTTGTGACGTCTTTTTGAATTAGAAAGTATGACCAATCATTATCAAGATTTTGTAGTGTTTATCATTTGTTTGAGTTCATTTTGGCGACGTAGTAGCGTACGAATGTTCGTGTTTTCGAAGCAGTGTTCTGTCAGATCAGTGAGCTGTCGAACATGTGTTTTATCGAAGTAGTGTTCCGTTTAATTAATGTGTAGTCGAAGTAATGATCGTCGAAATTAAGTGTGACACTCTGTCAACGGTTCAGTTAATAACAGTAAGTAAAATAAACTAAGTTGACATTCTAGTGTGTAGTGCGTATCAGTTTCTGCGCGCGTGCGTGCGTGAGTGCGTTTTGTAAGCGAGTGATTTAGAGTGAATGAGTGTGAGTGACAGAGTGTGCGAATGTGTGAATCCAACGATTATAAAACGATTATAAAAATTAAGAAAGAACGATAATAAGGTTTTCAGTTTCAACATAACTATGTTTACAGTCATATCTGCAAAGTTTACAAATTTGAAGTAATAAATATAATTTATTCTATAAATAGCCACTCAATAAACCGAAGAATCCCTGTGCAACGGTACTATTTGCTGAGAAAAGTGGATGAACAAAATGTTTATGGCGTTTATTGATCACTGAAGTTGGGTCAAATTTCATAAGGGACTGTAGTTTAAATCTGTGTGGAGGATAAAGAGTTGGCGAACTGTTAGCACTTCGCAATTTTTGTGAAGGTCATCAGTGGGATACAGGAATGGTAATTTCCAACCCACTTCCGGAACAGCTCTTTAAGTACGTTCTATTACGAGAATGTTAGTTTAGCAACTCCACCCCGACCGGTGATACAATATACGAGCAAAGATTGGCAGATGGCTACATAAACCATTTTGATGATATTAGAGTCAGCAACGTGTCGTACCTTTTTGAATACAAATATCAGTTTTCTGATTCACGAGGAGAGTGCATTAATCAGCGGTTTAAAAGTTTCACTAGTCTAGCTGCAACTTTTATGCGATCACATCAACAACCCGCTTGTCAGGCGAACCACTTACTACAAATCTACCGAGCTTAGAAGGGAACATGCAATAGTTAAGTGAATATTATTTTTCCAGGTGCTCCGGCAATCATCGCAAATTCCTTGCTCCTCTTCGGAGCGCTGTGTTTAAGACAGTTCATGCTATAGTTACAGTTAGGTAGCCAATTAAAAAATGTTTTACTTTTGGTGTATATTATTTGAATTTCATTAAAAATTCCAATGAATAAAGTTTGCGATTATTTAAACCCAGTCTTGTAAAACTTCCCACGATGAAATATAACATTATAACAATAAACTGCCTCCGTGGCCGAACGGTTACCATGCCGGACTGCCACGCAGAGGTCCCAGGTTCGATTCCCGGACCGGGAGAAATATTTGTATGGCCTACATTTATTTCTCTCGTGAGTTTGGGTGTAATTTGTGGTTGTCTACGTGTGTGTCCATGGCACCCGCGACACAGGGCTTCCCTAGTGCGGGGCTATGAGTATAAGCGTTATAAATAATTTAAAAAACTTATATGTACATATATAATATTGTACCAACTTCAGTCCCAAAATAAACATTTGTTAGCATATCAGCGACTTCATACAATAGGAGCAGACAGTTTACATTACGTTGCCATAAAAATATAAGAACTTGAATAAAACTCTTGAATATATTTGTTTGTAACGGTATTTATTTATACCACTAACAATTATACATTGCGGTGTTAAAGCATAAAGGAAGCGATAAAGTACCGCCAGAGCCGCATTAAAGCAACATCGGAATTGTATAATTGTATTGTTTTCCAGTTTTTCGTGGTAATGAATGATATCACGCCAAAGTAGCCATTAAGTCTGCTTCAATTGCAAACATAAATTGTACATTTTCCCTGAATACGTCTCTGGCGACATTGTTTGGTATTTATACATATTTATCACTGTAAATGTAGCAATGTTTTCTTTAACTGGAATCGCTGATTTATATTATTCTACTAAATCGAAAGATAAATACATATTTGTAAAAATTTTAACACACGTTTTGATTACATCTCTAATTTATTTGTAAACAATGTAATATAATATAGGATATAAAATATATATATAAAAGCTCGTGATATATTAATATACGAGTTACGTATCACTGGGGAGAAAATGGAGGGGCTCTTTTTGGTCTACGCCTAGCCTAAGGTACATTTATTTTTGTGGTTTATGTATTTGGGCCTCTGAATAAAGTGGATACAGTAAAACTTAGGGCATTCTATCTTAAGATATTTGTAATGAATTCCCGTGTCCACTAAAAAGCATTTGGACTTATGAAGACCTATCCTATTCTTTATATGTACCCAATACTACATTGAAAACGGGTCAGTGCATTGACTAGTTATGCATTTTTATACTCTTTCATATTGATAAATTCAAGAAACTTCTGCTAGAGGACCTCAAATCCAGAAATGCCAAGGCTGTCACCTGTCTGTGCACAATCCTGGCTGTGAATCTTTCGAACAATAAGAACTGTTATAACTTTTAAAAATGCCCATATAATTTTACTATCTACATCTTTTTGAACACCAAATGCCATGTAAAAATGTTTGTACACCAAAACAAAATGTTGTACCTTGGACAATATGATTGTAAGTATACATAAAGCTGTTATTATACATTCGCTTCGATATACAGGGTGTTAGGTAGCTCAACGGGTCTTTTACATCAGGGGTCCGAAACGTGTTTATCCATTTAGATAAACGTGTAATTGCGCTAGTATTGACTTACCAACGCGGTTGTTCTTGTTTTCAGCAGATTTAATTAAATCCGCAACATGGCTAGTCAAAATCCAACTAGTCAACCTTTGCAAAAACGACTAGTTTTACACTGTTCGTATACACAAAAAAATTAGGTCCAAAAATGCGTTTAAATGAACCACATGTTCCACTTTACTTTTGTATTTTAAAAATAATGAAAGTAGTATTGTCTAAACAGTAGACTTAATTGTGGAAAGAGAGGAACACTACCCAAGCAATGCAAGTAAAACTCTGCCCAATCATCCTAACATCCTGTACAGATGTTAATGTACATTTCCTTAGTCTATATGCAAGGTACTGATGTGGCCACTTGGTATATCTCACGCACATATACATACGTGGTGTATTTAAAAGACATAATCGACAAGACACTGCTACATGTGTAACTACTTAAAATTTGCCCATGTCAACAGGTCTCTTTTAAAGGACACCACATTTCGTAAATTCATATAAATATTTTATTGTAAATCCTTTAAATTTAATACTACGCTGATTTCAGAAATAAAAAATACATATTGTCAATCAATACTTTCGATATTTAATAAGATTTTTGTTTAGTTAACAGATAAATCTTGGAGGAGAGTTTATCGACATTTTCTTACACAAAATAATATATGTATATCTAAACAAAAGGTGGTCATATATTTGCTTAAAACCTTAAAACGAATGTTTATTTACATCGATTTTAACATAAGTAAGAGAAGTTTTTAATGTTTGGAAAAATAAAAATATAATTAATTACACAAAAAAGAGAAATAAAAATACAATTCTTTTACTTACATCACATTATGTTCTTACGTATGGAATAATATAGTTTTTTTTTACACTAAGATTAGCTTCGTACTTACAAAGTGTATTCTTTCTTATCTAAAAACAATTATTACAAAATATACAAGTTTTTCTACAAGTGTTTTAACGAACCTATGGAACAAACGAAACGATACAAATGGTCCTATTGATTATCTTGAAATTAGATTTTCAAAAGTAAAACTCTAAAAACCAATCTCTTTTGTACAATTAAAAAATATCCATTAAAACATTATTTTTGAACATTGCGCGAGTCCCGCTAATTAATTCCCGATAATAATTGTGAACATAAATACCAAATCAAGAAGACTAGTGACCCAAACTTTTTGAATAATTGCCCTAAGAGTAGTTTTTGATAGGTTATTCAGTTCAGGCAAGGGAGGTTACACAAGATTAAAATTAGTAAATAAAAAATGCAGCAAAAAAATTAATTGGGACAATTGACAGAAACATTATGACAAACGTTTAGATCAATATTTTTTTGGAAAAGAAAAGAACTTTTTTTTGTATCGATATTTTAGTCTCCATTCATATAAAACCATGTTTTAATACGTGATTTTTATAACTCATAATTATTAGTTGAATGGATTTCTCGCTATTTTGGTCTCATTTGTATAATTAATTTTATTTAAATAAATCAGGACCAGTATGTTCGATTCGGTTTAAGATTTAAATTTTGGATCAATAAATATATACATAAATAATGTTACAAATAACGAAAAAGAAATCAATATTCAGAACACTGATTCTAACAATTTTCAAAGCTTTCAATTAAACCGGAAAAGTTTATTTTAAATTAAATAAAATAGTTTAAATATTTTACGAGACCATACAAATAGTGACATTACAAATAAAATAAAATTAGCCGATCCGATAAAAAAATGATTATGTTTTCAATTCGATTTTTTTTACATTGACTAATGTCATTTCGTGAGCTAGCCCACTTCAAAAACTTTATCAATAGAACTTGACTATTTTCATTGAAAATTCATTTGACAAATTTACACGAACACTCGAAACAAAAATATACTTACACAATTTTTCCATACGATACGTTTGCGTCCTGCGCTTCTTTATTCAAGTCTTCAAGATCCTCATTTTTTATGTGAAAACGCAACAATATTATGACAAGAACGTAAATAATGGTGCTACAGTATCAACAGAATATTTGTTGGTTTAATTTAATCTTGAAAAGAGTTTTTTTTATTCTAAGGATTCCTCGGATGACTATGGAACCGTAAAATGCTTGGTAGAAAGTTTCATCATTATGCTAACTTTTTTTTATTGAAAGTATTATTTCACTCAAAGAAATAAGTGTACTAAATTAAATAATGAATTCTGAAAAAGTTTTAACATTTGTTCACACATGACGGCGATTAAAAATTGTCAATTCATGCTCAGCTGTGGCACAATCGAAATCAATCGAATCAAACGAGCGTCATCTACAACCTATATAAGGTTGCTTTTTTGTTGTCAAATGGTGGTCCATAGCGATTCATTTAGATGGTTTTTTTTTTACACTTCATATTCCACGATTCAGCCTCAAAGTATCCTTTAAAATTTGTACAATGGCCATTTAAAATGAATATACGTTTGCAAATTTAGACAGGTCGGTTAGTATCAAGTAATATTATCGTCGCCCTTACTCGCCGCGAGGTGACAGTATTGACTTAGTCGACGTTTTCTTGCTAATTAATCAACCTCCATTGCTCGGTTGGTCCTGGAATTGAAAAAAAAAATATTAGTTTCGCTCGCGTATATAATATTGACGTGTTGAAGAATCCGGCGTCGCAGCTAAGTAAGTTTTCAGCGTCGCCGGGTTACGCGGGACTACTAATTACGTAATTGCAATATCGACTGTACGGTGCAATATCGTACATTGTGTTTATGCGGCATTTTACGTATTCATGCGACATTTAGTTATAATTTATATTTAGTTCACAATCAGCCATCGCGCAGTGTACTCATATGTATCAAATGTATCTTTATTAGTTGTAAATCAAAACTAATAAACATTCTTAACAGTTATAATACTATCATTTATAAGTGTATGGAGCACCGTACATCGACTTTCACGTTCGGAGAAATAAAATTTCACTCCAATAGGCGGACTTCTCGCAACGACGGGATCCGGAATGCGGGCGCGGCTCACCTGTATCGACGTCGGGTCCACGCCCTCTTTCGAGTAGGAGATGTCGTTCGGCGCGGGGTACCCTGCAACAGAGGGCGCGATGAGGGGCCGAGGGCCGAGGGCGGGGCCGCGGGGTGCGGGCGGCGGCGGGGCGGTACCTGCGTGGTGGCGGCGCAGCGCGTCGTTGGCGTCCCGCAGCGCGGCCAGCTCGGTGCGCAGCGCGCGCCGCTCGCGCTCCAGCTGCGGCAGCGCGGCCAGCAGCCGGCCCAGCGCCACCTGCAGGCCGCTGCAGGCGCCCGCCAGCCGCGTGGCCAGCGCCGCGGCGCCGGGCGACTCCAGCGCCGGGTCCTCCAGGTCCGCGGCCGAGGCCAGGTCGGGCAGCGTGTCGTACGACAGCTCCTTGTCGAGCGCCGCCTCGGGCGACTCGGCGGCCGGCCCGTCGTCGCCGCTCGCTGCGAAATGGAGACGTTTTGTCCAACGAGTCGGCCGCGGGCGGGCGAGGTTCGCTCTCGACGCGTTCCGAGCGCTCACCGTCGGCGTCGCAGTCGATCCCGGGCGGCGCGTCGGCCCGCCGGCGGCAGGCCCCGCAGCGGCCGCTCTGCCGGCTGGCGCGGCCGGCCACGCACGCGGCCTCGCTGACGCTGAGCGCGCGCGTCAGCGTCTCCGTCAGCTGGTTGGCTGCGCAAAGGTCAAGGTTGTCGCCTCCGCCGCGGGCGCTCTCGGGCGCCCTCGGGCGGCTTCGGGCGGAGGCCACGTACCTTGCGCCTGCGCCGCCAGGAGCAGCTGGTGCATGTCCGGCGCCGCGGCCTCGGGCGCCGCGTCGTCGTCCGCGCTGTCGCCGCGCGACAGGCGCGAGGCGCGCAGCTCGCCGCACACGTCTGCAAGCAGCGGCGGTCAGGCGGGCGGGCGGGGCGTCCGCGCGGGCGGGGCGCGGCCCTCGGCACTCACCCACTTGGCCCAGCGTGTCGGCCACGGCCAGGTCCGCCATGTGCGCGAAGGAGTCGGGCGCCAGGCCCAGCAGCTCGGCCACCAGCGCCGTCTTGGAGCGCAGCGCGCGCGCGATGCTCTCGTCCAGGCGGCGCAGGCGCTCTGCGGCCGAGAGGGGGTGAGCGGGGGCGAGCGGGCGGGGCGGGCGGCGGGGGCGGCTCTCACCTTGCGGCGCCAGCGCCGTGAGCGCCGTGCGCGCCAGCTCGTCGGCGGGCGCGGGCTGCACCCGCAGCGCGCGCGCGTCCAGCAGCGGCGCGGGCCCGTCGGCGCCGTGCGTGGTGATGCGGCCCACCGTCGGCCGCCGCGGCCTGCGCAAGCGACACGTCACGCGCCGGCCGACGCCCGACGAGGCCTCGCCCCGACCTCCCGCGCACTCACTTGTGCTTCTCCTCCCGGTCGCGCTCGTCCCTGTCGACGGACCGCCGGTCCTCGTCCCGCTCCCGCTCCGCGGCCTTCTCGGGCCCCTTCTCCCGCTCGTCCTCGCCGGACGCCCGGTCCTTGTCGCCGCCGCGCTCGGCCTCGTCGTCGGGGCCGGCGCTCGACGTCGACTTCTCGGACGCGTCGGACGGGTTCCGCGACACGTTGATGCCTGCGGGCCGAGCGAAGCGATGACGCGGCCGCGGGGGCGACGGGGCCGTTCCCGCGGCGGAGCGCCGCGAGCGCTCACCCGAGTCGTCCTGCGAGCGGCTGGGCGCGTGGTGCGGCACCAGGCTGGGCCGCAGCTCCGGCTTGGCCAGGGGCAGCGTGCTCATGTGACGAACCCACCTACGGCAAAACACCGCGTTACTCTTACGCTACTCCGTTTAACGCAACAAAGTTACTTACTATGTATACAGTACTTCCCTCGACCGTAAAATGCAATCGATATCTAATAGTAGTTTATGTGACTGTTACTTATTGAAAGACACTAAAATACGACAGACGAATTTCATAAAAACATCTCACGAGTGTTTTAATGCCTAATTATGTACAATTACATACACTACTATGACTACACACATATCATAAGCTCTCTGTGATGTGTTCAGGACTCGCATGTGACAACTAGCGAAATAGCGGCAAATAAAAACTTGTCTCACGCATGTCACACAACCTTAGAGGAAAGGAGCTGCCCTAACTACAGAATCAACGTGCATATAACCAAAATTTGAAAGTTACAAATGGCGGATTTCTTTAGCGTTGTACTTATAATCTATCGATTCATTATCGACATGCAAATGTTCTTGGCTAGTTATTTGATAAAATGTTCGTGACTATGGAAACTAAAGGACATGTTACGTTGACATATATAAATCAGACGTTATATGTATATGATGCATTTCGACGTTGAAAACATAAACATGTTATTTGTCTTTGTTAAACTCTTGCGTGCCGTCTTAAGTCAAAAGAGATAGCATTACATTGGTCTGTGTCAAACACGGGTATCGAAAATACGTAACGTCATGTTAAATGCCAACCGTGTCCATTTCGCAATACACGAGGTACATGATACGGTTGTCAAAGGGAAGTACATCAAATGTCAAAACAAATGTTTTTCCAAGTGTTTTATTGAATTATTTGCATGTATTGTAATAAAATGGACAAAACTATTGACAGTGAAAACAATTTTAAGTATTAATAAAAATTCGTCGCTGCAGCATTACGGGATGTGGCATTTGAAAAAGCGAAGATCGACCGAAGTAACACTGTACAGGCATGGTGTTATTTTCTGTCTATAAATCACACAAAAGCCCAAAAATCTCATGTGATTAGACATATTTAAGTAGTTCATTCATAAATCTTGCCATATTTTGCTTTGGTTTCTTCAGATTGCCTGTTTGTTTGTATATTTTGATGATTGTTGTTAACGATTATTTTGAGATAGTGTTGTTCTTGGAAGCGTACATATTATCGATATTCTGTTATTAAAACAATTCACTACGAGGTTTTTGTCGTTGTATTATTATTATTTTTATTATTTCAAGTTTTCCTACAAATGAAAAAATTAAGAAAGAATGGTTGAAAATCATAGGACCGCTGAATATAAACGTTGGATCAAAGACCATCTTTATTTATTCGTTTCATTTTGAAGAGTCAAATTTTAACATAACTTTGAATGTAACTAGATTACATGACAATGCAATTCCATCATTACGTTTATTGGTTAATAATTTTATATTTAATTTAGATTAAACAAGACTCGTTTACTAGGCATTCTCAGTTCCTGAAAACAAAATTATCCACTCGTTTCCGATTTTTTCCCACTGACAACTCGTAACTACTAAAAATTCTTATTTTATAAAGCCAGCAATACAAAGACCATATTGGTCTAACGTTGCCGGGTGAAGGCCAATACCAAAGTATAGACAGCCTATTTGCCTTGCCTTGCCATCGTTCGGTGTCACTCGCCTAGCTGACCGAGTGAAGGCGAGCGCTAACGTGTATAGAGCTCGTTTGACATGGCTTGTCAAAACTCGCAATAGCTCGTGACTACTTGTCTCACTTCGGAGAAGTGTCGATTTTTCTGCACAAACCAAAGGCGCTCGACCAATAGTAGTCAATTGACGATTATTTCAATTGAAGATTGAAGGTTAGAGTTGAGATCAAATCAAATTGTTTTGTTTTTCAGAGATGTTCGAAATTTGAATGTAATAATAACAACGAATCCGTTGTTATTAAGAAGCAATAATAACATTTTCACAGATAAGAAATTTGTCCTAACAAAACAGTTTACTTTTTTGCTGGTCATAATTTGCGGTTTTAAAACACATAATTAATACAAAATTTATGATATGTGTGTATAGATAAACATTACTTTGTTATCAATCGCCGACAACAAACTCGAACGAAAGCCAAACAAACACTACAAAACAAAAACCAAATAATAGAAGTGTCCCGTGACCGGCTGAGTACCACTGATATTTCAACCAATCAAAGGGCAGTAGAGCGTTTATTGAGTAGCGTCATATTTGATATTTCATGTTTTTTCATTTTAATTTTTTGCCATATACTTACGCCTTTGTACGTGCTATTCAACATTTTGAGATAATGTTTAATAAAAGAATTACATAATTTCACAAATATAATGATATTACTCTGTTCAGGAACACGTTCAAGGAGACTCTTTCAGAAAAAATTCCTTCGATCTGGCCGGATTCGAACCGACGTCTTCTAGCATACCGTGATAGACGCTATACCAACTAAGCCACGGAACAAACCGGCGGACCTCACAGATTATTCTATGTGCTTGTTGTCATGTCTTTGTATTTAGTTTTTCAACGATTTTTCAGTCGTAGCGTCATCTATGATAAATCTATGATATTCCGTCGCCCAGTTAGATACCTTTACAGCTACCAGCCCCAGCGAGAGATGTCGCTATTCACTATATTTTTAAATTTGTATTGAATTGATATTTAATAAATTTGTTTT